ATATATATATATATATATATATATATATATATAAATATATATATGAAATATATATATGAAAATATATATATGAAATATTATATAAATATATATAAATATAAAATATATATATATATGAAATAGTCTTCCTTCTGTTGTTGCCCTAATGTACAGATTTGGAAAGTAGAAAAATAAAGGCCCAGACTAAAAGGACTTTCCTAGGAGATAAAGGCAAAGGGGAAAAGTATCTGTGGGCCCTGGTCTGGGACAGGGGATCCCAGAAAGCCAACAACACATACATGACAGAAGTCCACACACCTACGGCACAATACAAAACATATGACTTTAGGGTCCCGATGCACTTACAAAGCCCCGTGTGTACTGATTCAGGCTATCGATCAAAGCGACCTTTGATAGCTCTTCTTTTACATATGAAGGAGGGGAGATATCTGGAAGGCCTTGGCCAAGATTCACGACAGAGGGATCAGCAGCCAATTTGGTAAATTCAATCCTAAGATTAAAACAGTAAGACTTAAATTTAGGCACTCAAATTTCAAGTTTCATACAACAATTTTATCACCCACAAACTGAGTTTACCTAATAAAATGTTGGCTGAATTAATGAACTTAATGTTCATTTACAGACCCCAACTCCATGATTCCCATATTTTAAATACACACATATAAACACAACTACGTGTGTGTGTGTGTGTGTGTGTGTAGGTGTTTCTTTCTTTCTTTTTTTTTTTCCCTCAACCATTCCTAACTGCTGCTAGGTTATCAATTGTTAGCAAACAGAACTAATTCTGGGTGCAGTGTCACATGCCTGAAATTCCAGTAACTCAGGAGGCTGAGGCAAGAGCATCCAAGTTTGAGGCCAGCCTCAGCAACTTAGTGAATGAGACCCTATTTCAAAAGCAGGGTGGGGGGGGAGAGGGAGGGAGGGAGAGGGAGAGGGAGAGAGAGAGAATGAATAAGAAAAGTTCATGGTTTAGAAGGAAAGTTCGATGAGAGCATCCATTAAATTAGTTTTTTTTAGTGCCCTGTGCCTAGTGCCTAGCAGAGCTTGCTTCATTTGCTAGATGAACACATTAAGGCATGGATGGCTAACTTCCTTTCATTTCTATCTGATGAATGAATCAAATGAATGACTTCAATTTTCAACTATGGATGTAGGTAAAAATCCTCAAATAATTAAAAAAAAAACCACCCTAGAAAATCTCATCAAATTACTATTGTTTATTCTAAGATACTCACCATACATTACGGTCAAGTCCTTCAATTCTTTTTGCATTTTTGAATTTCAGAGACATTTTCTGAAAGGCATAAACATTGAAAGGATCTTTTACTTTTTTAATCAAAATTTGAGGTCAGTGAATCATGTGTTACTCTTCCTTTTCTGTATTGTCTCTGTGTTAATAGTACCACCACAGAGAGTTCTAGAACACAACCCAAGATGCTGAACATTTCATCTCCTACCTACATTCTAGAGTGCTTTTAGTACCTACAATCATCCTACTCTAAAGAGAAAATATCATCCTAGTCTAAAAAGTTAATCACTTTAAAGGCCTGAAATGCATTAAAGAGAACAATACTTCTTAAAAAAAAAAAAGAGAGTTTAGCTGGGCACAGTGGCACATACCTATCATCCCAGTGACTCAGAAAGTTGAGTATCACAAGTTTAAGAACAGCCTTAGCAACTTACTAAGGCCCTAAGCAACTTAGCAAGACCCTGTCTCAAAATAAAAAAATAAAATGGCTGGGAATGTATCTCAGTGGTAAATTGTTCCTGGGTTAAATCCTTAGCAGTAAAAAACAAAAACAAAAACCAACCCATTTAAAAAGTATTTTGAGGCATCAGATTGTTTTTCATAGGATACACCAAGAGTTCCACAAGACAGGAACTGTTTGTCATCCAGGAAGCACTCAACAAGTGGTCTCAAACTACTCAATAAAGGCTTCCAACTTAATAACAGTTAACATTAAGTACTGCATGTGCACCAGGCACAGATCTCATGCTTCACATAATTATCTTGGTTAATATTCACATCTGCCCTTTCATTATGAGCACATTTACATATGAGGAGCAGGAGGCACAGGGAGGATAAAGTTCACACAACTTTTCACATCTGCCCAAGCCAGAAGCAGTAACATTCACATTCAAATAGTTCAGCCCAGGATTTGAACCCATGCCCTGACTCCAGTTCTGTACTCAGAACTGTCAACTTCTACCTCTCTTTTACATAAGAACGCCTAAAAATATTATTGGGATGCTGTTGCCTCTTAAAAGTATATTGGTAATTTAGTTCAGGTCTACTCATGCCAAGCGAGCTAAAGCTATGGTAGAAAAATATTAGGAATTATAATTATCATACAGCATGCCTTTTTTAGTTCTTTAAATTCTAAAATTAAGTTTATGCTATCTCTCAAAAGTAACAAATTAGCTTTGAGTTCATTGTTAACAAGCTGGTAGATATAAAAGAATGATTGACAGCATCTTTCCAAAGAATTTTATAATAGAATATTAAAGCAATTTTAATTCAATCAGGGAGGGAGATAATGATAATGGTTATTAAATAGACCATTGTTCTCATTCTAGTCCCAATAATGGGACTAAAAAATACCTTGCTCAGTCTCCCATTTTTAATCTTTGATCCTCCAGTGAAGTAAATCACACACAAATTCTCCAGAGGTTACAGGGTCTTCTAGAATAGATTACGATGAAGTCCCAGCTGAACAGGATGCTACTCTGGAGACTCTAATTATATAACTAAAGAGTCCCAGCATGATAGAGAGAAAAAGATATTTTAACAAATGCCCTTTGCTATCTCTGAAACAATGTCGAGAACTTAATGATTCATTCAGAATGTGACTGCAAACACAAAGTAGATTCAAATAGATAATTTAGACACTAAGTACAATTTTGATAATTGAACTCAAAGGGCACTTTCAGATTTAATTTTCTTTAACATTTGTATCTAGGCAAGTCTTTCCTCTGTCAGCTACCCCTTCCTCTCTCTCCTTCCCAACTCCACGTCTAAGCCCCTCTATTTCATAGTCTATATTTTCTCCCTTCTGCATGTTATCTTTCCTCTGCCCCAAATGTCATTCTCTACCAGTGTTTCTCAACCTTTTTCACCCTTGCTCCCCTAAGGAGACTCATTAACTTTGAGTTCACTGTTCACAAGCTGGTGAGTATAAATAATGATTGACAGCATTTTTGCAATAAATTTCCTAATCATCTTCCCTTCACGTAAGTAAATCTTAAGGAATAAAATCTTGTCAGATAGGGTTGAGCTTTGGATGGCTACAAAACACTGTCACAACTAAAATTTATTCTCCCTGCAAAGCACCCATTTCCTTAAGGGCAATAATGCCTCTGCTGAGAAGGCAGGTTTCCTACTCAAGCCAATCCCTGTCCCCACTTTCCTGTCCCTGCAGTTGGCAAACTCCTACTTCCTCCTGCCACCTTCAGTCTCAAGTTAATCTTTGTTTCCTGCAAATCCTTCTCAGATTCCCCAAGTCAGGAGCACATGCCCCTCCCATGTGTTCCCATTAAATTGAGTAATTTCCAGCATTTTTTTTTTTTACATATTATAATTTTCTGCTTATTTATATCTGCCCTTAAGACTGTTAGAACAACTTGTTCACTGATGTGTGTCAGTATCAGTCAGGGTTCTCTAGAGAAATAGAACCAGTAAAATGTATGGGCTGACAAGTCTGAAATCTGCAGTGTAGGCCCCAGGTGGGTACTCGGGATGGTGAGGATGCAGCTCAAGTTGAGTCTGAAGGCAGAATTCTCTTTCCCAGAGAGCAGGTGGGAGTTGTCTCTTTTCTTCTAAGGCCTTGGGCTGAATGAGGCTCCTCACATTATGGGTATTCTGCCTCCCCCCCACTTGAATGTTAATCTCTTCTAAAAAATAATTCTGTGACAACACCTAGATTGGTATTTAAACAGATATCTGGGCTGTGACCTCACCAGATTGACATTGATATCAATGCATTGGAGATCTGGAACTGGTCCTTGTTCCCAGGTGTTGAAGATTAAAATTCTGAGAAATGCCGATGCAAGTGTAGAAAGCAAGTTTTATTTTAAAAAGGGACAGAGACAGACTTCTCTGAAGAAAAGGGCCGCCAGAGCTGGGTGTCCGTGGGAGGGAGTGGCCTGTCTCTCTTACACATCCTAGGAACCCACCTCCTTTTAATTATTGTCTTCTCTTTTTTTCGCCATGTATGTGTCTGAAGATAGGAAGGAGCAGGAGCACAGAGGTTAATTGTTAGTAATCCATGGTTTTCTCTTTGATAATCAGTCATCAGCCTCTTTGGATCCTATACTGACTGCCTGACCTTTGCCCCTGCCTTAGTTTGCTGAGGAATGTGACCTACCCTTTCCTTTTCTGTGTGGGGCTGCAGGCAGATTGCTTTTTGGCTAAGAAAGCATGTGGTGGTCAGCATGTGGGATCATTTTATAGGATTATTCTCTTAACCTCATGTTCCCACCATTCTCATCTATACGTCCCCTTACAATCTCATCACAGTGTCCAACAGGTGCTACTATATCTAGGTCATGTATTCAACATATATTTGATAAGTATGAAAAAATATCACTCAAGTTAGTTGAATATATGGTGTCATTCAAGTTTAGTTAGGTAGTTCTTTTGTCAGTCAGCTTAAGTTAATTTATGCTGCAGTAACAAATGACTCCAAAGTCTTGATAGCTTAAAATCTCAAAGATTGCTTCCTTGTTCACACTAGATATCCACTGAAATTCAGCTGCTGCTATTCCTTGTCACTGTTGTTCCGAGACACGGTTGTGAAATAGCCTCTATCTGGAATACAACCCATTTTGAGGACAAAACCTCTTAAAAAGTTTCTGCTTGATATGTATACATCATTTCAACTCCTATTTTATTTTCCAAAGAGATCTCATGTCAAAGCTACAGAGAGGAAAAAGAAGCAAATAATTTTAAAAACCCAAGACAAGAATGAAGTCTGGAGGTATAAGAGATAGGTGTCTATCACAGGTTGGACAGTTTCCCCTTCAATTTCTTTAATTCCCAGTACCTCAAAATGTGGCCTGGTCTAGAAACAGGCTCACTGAAGATGCAGTTAGTTGAGATGAGGTCATGAGGCGGGTGCTCAGCCACTGTGGCTGGTATCTTTATGGCAGAAGCCTGGATTCAGGTACTCACCCTAAGAAACTTAGGTGAGGCAAAGGCAGGGGTGGGGTGATGCTTCTGACAAACCAAGGAATACCAAAGACTGCTACGAAATGCCCAGAAGACAGGAAAGACGTCGAACAGATTCTTCCTCGCAGCCCTTGGGAAGAACTGACTCTGCTTAACCTTTGATCTTTGGCTTTCAGCCTCCAAAACTGTAAAGGAATAAATTTCTGATGTTTAAATCACTTAGTTTGTGGTACTTGAAAACATCCCAGGGAAATTAATTCACTGGTGAAAGTCTACAAGACAACTTGCAAAGTTCAAAGACACCAAGATTCAGCAGCAGAGGCAAATGCTCACTGGCTGAGAACTATTTGCTAGAGTAGACCCAGTTTCAGGAAATTAAATTGAACCTGGAACCCAACGGATAAGTAGGTGTGAATCCTACGGACATAAGGGACATCTGTAAGCCTTGTATCATTTTTGGACCCAGAAAACCCGGTGAAGTAACTTTTGCTGTCAGAGGGATTACAGGCCTGGCATGGTTATAGACCACACTGCTATATTATTAACACAAACTGCCAGTGCATCCTAGGACCTTAATATGACTTTTATTAACTTGAGGCTGAAAATGCAGTTTTAGAGATTCTCCACTAGGTGGCAAAATTGGCAAAGGTAAGGAAAAGCTTTAAATTGTTTTCTGTAAAGGTGCTAGAAAAATGAAAAAAAAAAATTACCCATGATTCTGAGAGCCTAGTACACCTAAGTTTAAACTGTACATATTTTGAGGACTACGTTCATAAGACCTGAAGAAGGTATATAGGATGGGAGAGGTGCTGGAAAAAAACTTCTCAAATGCTGGACTGAAGCTGGAGAAATCAAGGTTATTAATATCTATATGAGTTATAAATCAAATCTTTATCCAAAGAGATCAAAGCCACAGCACCACTTCCTCCCTCAATAGCAACTAGTAATGATAAGGAGGACAAGAAAAGGCCACAATACAAACAACAAGGTATACATAATGGATATGTATGAATATTTTGATGTTTTAACAACCATAGTGACACTTAGTATTCTTCATCCTTAGCATTTACATCACTTCCTAAATGTCTTTTTTGGTTTAAAAAGCATATCAATTTTAAAAAGTAACTTTGGTATACTCTTTCCTACCTTTCCTACTTTGTGTTTCTTTTGTGCAGCATAACTGTGTTGGCTGCTCACGTTTCCATGAGATTCTGTGACTTCTCAGGTGAGCACTGTGACTACCTGAAGGCAGGGGAAGAAACAGTGCACATCCATTTCTTTGAAGCTCACACTACACTAATCAGATCTCTTTGCATGAGTCAGAAACTCAATCTGGAACAGCTTAAGAAAGAAATGGCTTTATTAGAAAGCTCATGTTACATGGGAAGAGCAGAGATGTGGTCAGACTCAGAGATGAATGTGAAACCGTGACCAGGAGCTTGAGCACTATGGGGCTTTGTTGCATGTCTGTTTTATACACTTTCTGTTTACTTTTCCTCATAATAGATGAAGCAGTTGCATTCCCCACTTTACTATTCCAGAGGGACTGAGAGTTGAACAATTTTTTTTAAAAGTTACCATTATTGCTTCACTTAAAAAAAAATCTATCAAACAGGGTATAATGGTACATGCCTGTAATCCCAGTGGCTCTGGAGGTTGAGGCAGAAGGATTGAAAGTTCAAAGCCAGCCTCAGTAAATAATTGAGGCCCTAAGCAACTCAATAAGACCCTGTCTCAAAATAAAAAAAATGAAAAGGGCTGGGATGTGGCTTAGTGGTGAACTCCAACCTCTGCCCCACACAGGTTCAATCCTTGGTACAAAAAGAAAAAAACAAAACAACAACAACAACAAAAAAAAACTTAGTAAGATATCATTTAATGGGCTCAAAGATATTTTTTTCAGTTGAGTCCCAGAATGGGAGAAAATATTTACAATCACATAATTATATATCTTACAAGAGACTTTCATACAGAATATACAAACAACTTTTATAACTTAGTGAGAAGACAGTCCAATCTAAAATGAGCAGAAAATTTGACATCCTCTTCACTGAAGATATAATACTGGCCAAAAATCATATTAAAGGATGCTCTATATTGTTAGTCATCAGGGTAATGCAAATTAAAATCAGTGAGATGGCACAAGATACCCAGAAGAATTGCCACAGATACCAAGTGCTGGCCAGGGTGTAGGGGCAGTTGGCACTCCTTATAGCCTGCTGAGAATAGAAAATAGCACAACTACTTTAGGAAATGGTTTGGCAGTTATTAAAAAATTAAACATACATCTACCACACCCCAGCCATTCCATTATTAGATAATTATTGAAGAGAATGAAAACCTATGTCCATATAATGGGTTGTACACAAATGTTCACAATAGTTCTATTCAGAAAAGCCAAAACCTGGAGGTACTCAAAGACTCATCAACAGGTGAACAGAAAAGCAAGTGATGTTATATTCGTATAACACCCAACAATAAAAAGGAAGGAACTACTGATACAGTACATCAGAAGTGAATTTCAAAATCATGAAAATCATAAGCAAAAGTGTATATTACATACTTTATATTTATATAAAAGACAAAAGAAGTACAAACTAATCTATGGTGATAAAGAGCAAATCAGCAGTGTGAGAGATGAACTGCAAAGGAACATGGGAAAACTTTTAAGGTCAGTGGAAATACTCCCTATGTTTATTGCAATAGCGATTCCATGTTATATCCATCCACCCAAATGATTATCAAGTTGTAATTCTAAACAGATGTAGTTTATTGTACCTTGATAAAGCTGAGATAAGAGTTGCCATGATGTTTCAAAACCATGCCCTCTTATTCCTCTGGACAAATGCTCCTCAAGCAAGCAGGCACTAGCAAAATTATCTCCCAAATTTAAGTTGCTTTCCAAGGTATGACTACATATAAAACAACAAAACAAAATCCAAACAGACAAATTACTTTCTTTGGCCACTAGATGGCATAGTGAAATAGCAGAATGTTCCTGTAGTAGTCAAAAGAACTGAAATTAACCGAAGTTGAAACGCAAGGCAGGGCAAGATGACTTTAAAGACATAAAAGGAAAAAGCCAATTATAAAGGACTTAAAGGTGTGCGTATTTAAACTGCAACTTTTAAGCAACACATATTTAGTTGCTTTCTTTTGTACATGATATATTGTAGGTATTCAACATTCCTTGACTGAACATTTAAATGAGTGAAAGGGAAGGAATTTGGACTCCTTCTAAGATGTAATATACTATAGGAAAAAATGAATACTTCAGCGAAAAACCATGCACTGGCCATACTGAGATAGGTGGGCTTGAGGACAGAAAAGAAACCCTTAGTAGATGGAGACCCAGATTTCTCTGAGCATGACCAGCCATGCTTGTCTCTTTAGTCAAACATATAAAACCTCCAGAAAATGTATTCTTGGACCAGGTCAACAAAACCATAATCCATTTAAATGTCATGAAATTCGAAGACCTACACAATGTGATCACAACTAATTTATGGCTAGACTGTTTAATTAGAAAGAAACATTCCGAACCCCAAATATCAAATGATTGACAAGGGATTTGATTCTCACAAAAGCTTGCCTGGAAAAGTGCACTTCCCAGAAAATCCCATATATAGTCGGAGAGCTCAACCCTAGTTGGGTCACTGGTCTTCTCTGGGAGGCAGGAGGGTCTCCACCTGCCTTAGGGGTATGTAGACCTTAGCTTTGCAGTCTTGTAGTACATCCTTGCTTTTGCTAAGCTTTTACACTTTCTGAAATTCCTCTCAGCAGAGTAAGTCAAGAACCCACCTGGATCTAGGTGAGGTCACTGTCCCCTTGAAGAGACCTTCTCAGAACCATACCTGGTATCAATACTATATACCCTTATAGGGCTAATTCTAGCAGGACTGGAATTTACTTTTGAGTATTTTGCACTTTTTAAAATTGAAGGTGACTGATAGGCAAAATTCTGGTTCTGTTGTTTTGATTGACCTTTCTGTCAGCTCTGTGGAAAAACCAGTTCGCCTTTGTTTGAAATTCATTTCTGGGCTGGGAATGTGGCTCAAGCTGTAGCACGCTCGCCTGGCATACGTGCGGCCTGGGTTCGATCCTCAGCAAAGATGTTGTGTCCGCCGAAAACTAAAAAAAAAAAAATAAATACTAAAAAATTTTGGGGCTGGGGTCGTGGCTCAGTGGTAGAGTGCTTGCCTAGCATGCGTGAGGCACTGGGTTCGATTCTCAGCACCACATATAAATAAATAAAATAAAGGACCACTGACAATTAAAAAAATATTAAAGAAAAAATTCATTTCCTTTATCTCAAAATACCTGTGTGCTTTTTGAGTTTTCCTTTGAATGCATCCAAATGTCTGTCTGTTTTCCTCATGATTTAAGTAAAATAAATACCTTTAAAGAATGTCCACTTTTATATTTGCATGAATCATGATTTGACTTTTTCTGAAAATCGTCTTTTAATAGTACAGAGAAACAGGCTAACCAGAAACAAGCCTTTCTTGGAACTTCCAAGCTGACAGCATGGGTAAATATATAAATGGAATACCAGAAAATGTGGGGTTAGGTAAGCCAAGAATAAAAAATTAGATTGATTCCCTTTAAAAATTAGGTCCAAGGAAAGATCTTAAAAGAGTGTTTGAATATGGCCCTCACCACAGGGCGGGCCCTTTGTCTGTCTAGACTCTGCAATCTTCCTGTCCTCAGACATAGCTAATTGCATTAGGGTTGGGCAGAGTCAAGTGAAACCAATCAGGACAATTCCTGGAAATGCGGATTTGAGAGAGAGGGAGAGGTTAAGTTTTGCTGGGCACTCTACCAGGAAGACAGGTAAACCTGGACCTGGGGCAGGCATGTGCAGTTCCTCACAGACACGTCATGCTCTGTGCCCTATAATTTATGCTTCCGTTCAAATGAAAATCCCCAAGGTTATTTAGTGCACAGAGCTCTGAAGCCAGATAGATCTTGGTTCCAATGAGACATCAAAACTGCTAGTGTGCAAAGTAGGCAGGATATATGTCTTCTCTGAAATCCAATTTCCTCCTCATTTGTTAAAAAAGAAAATGAATGTCCCATGTAAGTACCGTGGTGATTAAATGAGGCAAGTCTGTAAATGGAAAAGTAGCTGTTTGTATATAACATATACTAAAAGCTAATGTCCAATAAGAGATGAAGATCCTTG